TCTGTCCCCAGTTCAACCCCTTGAATGCTGATTACTGAGGCTGAGGAAGGCTTTAAACACTACTGACCTGCCGCCTGCTGTAGAGAGGAAAGGCACAGCCCACTGCCCCCGCTGAGGGGTGGGGGAAGGGTTTGGGCAAACCCGTCCTCTTAAAGAGAAAAATCAGCTAAAATCCTGGATGCTCCAGCACAACACCTGAGTTTGGGTGCTGACTCAGCAATACACTGGAACATAAAGACTTCACAGGCCTCCCTTACCTCATGCAAGGAAAGGCCCGGTGCTCCAGTAGGGCCAGGAGGCTGCGAGGCATGGGTGTGGGGTGGTGTATGGGCAGCACTGACTGGAGGAGGAGGAGGGGGTAGGCCTCTTGAACCCTTTTATCCCTAAGGGAACGTTTAAGGCAGAACCAAAGAACTCACGACCCTGGTCCCTACAGAACATCTGCGCCAGCCTAAGAAGGAAGCCTCTGGCTGAGAGGCCATTTCCTGAGGGTCTCTGAGTAGAAGGAGGAGTCAGTAATAGTGTGGGCAGCTCCATAGGGAGCTGAATGGAAATGAGTGATTTACATCAGGGATCCTTGAAAAGCCCGAAACTCCAGGACCCTCTTATCCTCAGACCTGTATGGCCAGAGGAACTGAAGTTGCTGGTGCCTGGATTTCCATACAGCTTTTGGGGACCAGGGAAGGAAAATGCAGGAACTCCCGCAGGGCCTGTGAGCACGAGGCATGTGTTTGGGGGATGAGACGCCTCTGCCATGGTCTGAGGACATTTCCTTCCTCCTCCTCCCCCAAAAGGCAGGGGGTTCCCTCAAACAGGCCCAGCACTCTGTCAATGCCACATCTTAATAGGTCTGTGTTTTCTTCCATGTTCCCTCCACCCTGGCTTGCGCCCACACGAACCCAGCAATGACATCGCTTTGATCAAACTCTACCAAAGTGTCAGCACGACCAACCAAATCCAGCCGGCCTGCCTCCCTCCTGCCAACAGCATCCTGGCCTCTAACACCGTCTGCTACGTAACAGGGTGGGGAAGACTGAGGAGTAAGTGTCCATCCCGTTCCTTAGTCACACTAAGTCCTTCTGTGTTAACACATCCTTGGGAATGGACTGGAATAAGGTGGTGTTTTTTCCTGGGGCCGCTTAACTCTCAAATCAAAGGGGGATCGGACCAGGGCTTTGGCTCCGCTCCAGCAGCAGAGATGGTTTTTGCATTTTCTTTGCCGAACGCTTAGTTTTTTGTAAGGACTGGGGGTGTTTGCACAATGGGGCTGAGACCTCGAGAGGCAGCTGGAATCCATGTCAGTGTGCTCTGCCAGCTGCTGGGGCAGCCTGTGTACATGGCAGAGTCGAAAAGGCCCTTTACAGAAAGGAATGCTAGTGAGGGACAGCCAGCCTGGAACAGGGCAGGCCCCATGCAGGGAATGGGCATGATGCAGGCAACAGCCCCTAGCTACCTTGTGCTTCAGTCCTGACCAGGAGATCCTGGCCTGTTTGCTGACACAAGTAGCAATAGGAGGCTGACATGAGAATGCTAAACTGCTGAACGTTGGGAATACTGACGGAGCCATTATTAAAATAGAGGCAGGTTTCCTACTGCCTGAGATTCTTTCCTGCAGGAGGGATGTAAGCACTAGAGACTGCAGCCCTTCTCTGCTTGGAATCCCTGTGGACTCTTGTCCTTGGCGGATGTGATTTTGCTGTTTCTTGCTGGCCGGGGAGCTCATCCGGCTCCCTTGTTTCTGTTCTCCTCCAGCAAATGGTCCTCTCCCCGAAAAACTGCAGCAAGGGCCGTTGCTCATCGTGGATCACGCCACCTGTTCCCAGTCTAGCTGGTGGGGCAGCGTAGTGAAAACCTCCATGGTCTGCGCAGGTGGTGACGGGGTGATCTCCAGTTGCAACGTGAGTCCCGCGAACTCGGCACTTCGGGGGCCTGGCTTTAGGAGTCTTGCTTTGTGGGAAGGAGCTAGGAAGGTGGGCAGGGTATTAGGATCTGCCCATTCCAGATAGGCTTTGAAACCCCTTCATATAGGTTGATAGAAATTCATGTGCAGAAGGACTATCCATTAACACAATGTTTCTGTGGGTCCCGACCCCTCAGGGGGTCGTGAGCAACTTAACAGGGGGTCGCAGTATCACAAAGCCTGAGAGGGGGGTCGTGAGCAACTTAACGGGGGGTCGCAGTATCACAAAGCCTGAGAACCCCTGCAGTAACACATTAACATAAGAACATGTGAACGGCCAAACTGAGTCAGACCCAAGGTCCATCTAGCCCAGTGTCCTGTCTTCCGACAGCGCCTAATGCCAGAGGCACCAGAGGGAGGGAACAGAAAGAGGAATTATCAAGTGATCCCACCTCTGTCAAACAGAGGCCAGGGACACAATTCCTGCCCATCCTGGCTAATAGCCAGTGATAGACCTAACCTTCATGAATGTATCTAGTTCTTTTTTGAACCCTGATAAAGTCCTGGTCTTCACAACATCCTCTGGCAAGGCGTTCCACAGGCTGCCCGTGCACTGCATGAAGACATGTTAATGGCCTCACATACAAGAGGGACCCCGTGCACTGTATGAAGACATGTTAATGGCCTCACATACAAGAGGGACCCTCTTCAAACCCCTGGATCCAAACACCTGCTACATGTTGCGACCTGAACATGGCGGCTGGGAGCCTTCTCATAAGATTGGACCTGCGTTCACTCAGTTCACACTCCTGCCTTTCCACCACGTCCCATTTCCAACTTTACTGATGTTCAATCTCTCTGCCTCTCCTTCCTTGCAGGGGGACTCTGGTGGCCCACTGAACTGCAGAGGTGCTAACGGCAGGTGGGAAGTGCATGGCGTGGTCAGCTTTGGCTCCGCTCTAGGCTGTAATTATTACCGCAAACCCTCCGTCTTCACTCGGGTCTCTGCTTTCAACGACTGGATTGCTAGGGTAAGGGTCTAGTGTGTGCTGCTGATCAAGAACAGAAACTTTACTGTGAACTTTTAAACGGTCATCCCAGGCTAAAACAAGACAAACCCCGCACCCTCAATTGCTGCTGATCAAGAACAGAAACTCTACTGTGAACTTTTAAACAGTCATCCCAGGGTAAAACAAGACAAACCCCGCACCCTCAAAAAAAAAACCTCCCAGGGTTTGTCCATATGGGGAAACTGGCCAGCACACGTGGGCACACTTACACTGGAAGAGCTAGTGCACTTTAAAGTCACACCCTAACTTATTCCAAAATAACTTCTCTGCATGGACAACCCCTTCTCACAAGAAAAGACAACACTGTCTTGTTACTAGGGAATTAGATCCTGCAGCAAAGGTATGGTGTCTTCCTGTTGGATGCAGCTATCCAAATGATCTTCATTTCCAACCAAAGTGGGGATGGTTTGGAATAAATGTCACACTTTATATTAAAGATATATTTGTAATGTTTTAATAGATTAGCATTGACATCCAAATCCTTAATATCATCTATGACTATGATTATCAGTAACACAAAAATATTATCAACTATTTATTAACTATGCATGAACCCTTAACATAAAGAGTGATTCAGAAGCCAAATCACTGGTCTTCGGCCATGTCTATACTTACTGTGCTAGAGATTGATCTTCTGGCATTTGATTCAGCAAGTCTAGTAAAGACCCACTAAATCAAATGCTGGGGGGCACCCCCAATCAGCACTGGTACTCCTCGATTCGGCCTCCCACTATGAAGATGGCACCAACTTTTGCTTAAGGTATGTTGACTCCAGCAACATTATTTATGTAGCTGAAGTTGTGTACCTTAAGCCGACCTTCCGGGTCTAGTATAGACCTGGCCTTTAAGGAAGAGAGAGGGATGTGGATGTAGGATCAGTTCATGTATTTAAAGGGACAATTTGTAGAGTGTGGATGTCCAACTCTGTTTACAGATTTCCTTAGCTCACTGGTCTGATTTTCCCTTTTGTTTCACCCTTTCTGTAGGTTATGGCAAACAACTAACCTGAAGAGCTGTGAGCAACAGATTAACCCTGTGCTGGGGGATGGGAAGCAATTTAGCTGCTTGAAATAAAGTCGTAATCATGAAATTACAATCATGAGGTGCTGAAGGAATCCGTGTATAATAAATAACGGACATTTGTTTGCAACACTCGTGTATACGCCTGTGCCTTGGGGAAAGGGAGGGTTTCGGGTAAAAACATTGTTGCAGGAAGTTTACTTCCAGTTGATAAAATCCAGCATGAATGGACGTGGCACATGAAGTACAAAACACGGAGAAGAGGGGGACTCACCCAGAGCCATCTCCTTCCACAGTCACCCTGCTGTCCCCACACTTCATTCTAATCCCACTTTCCCGTACTAGGCCCCAGCTGCCAACTCTCCCCTTGCCTCATACCTGATCATGGGCGAATGATAAGAACCATAAATCCCAATTCCCTTGATGGGAACCCAAAATACGTCATGTAGAGTTCCCATTGGTTCCCTTATTCAGTGATTTCACGCATTTACTCGTTGTATGTTATGCCCAGATTGAGGAAATTATCCTGGAGCAGCTGCTGGCTGCAGAGCTGGTCGTAGAGGCAGAGAAACCTCTGAAAGCTACTTTGTAATATCAGGGAGGCTTTTAAAAACAGCAGCCAAAGGAATCACGCACCTGATTTTAAAGAATCAGCCATTAAGCATCACAGACTAGCTGCAGCTGGTCTAAGCTACTCTGGTGTTTCTGGTAAGCCTGGATGGCTGTGAGAATTCATCAGCAGGAGAGTTAATGAAGAGCCAGCAAAATACCTTTTACTAAAACTGCCGTGCTTTTATTCCCCCAGACCCTGGGAGAAGCCTAGCAGCAAGAGAGACATCAGAGAATGCCAGGCTAGGGGGAGAAGAAACAGGAGAATCATAGAATACTAGGACTGGAAGGGACCTCGAGAGGTCATCGAGTCCAGTCCCGTACCCTCATGGCAGGACCAAATACTGTCTAGGCCATCCCTGATAGACATTTATCTAACCTACTCTTAAATATCTCCAGAGATGGGGATTCCACAACCTCCCTGGGCAATTTATTCCAGTGTTTAACTACCCTGACAATTAGGAACTTCTTCCTAATGTCCAACCTAAACCTCCCTTGCTGCAGTTTAAGCCCATTGCTTCTTGTTCTATCCTCAGAGGCCAAGATGAACAAGTTTTCTCCCTCCTCCTTATGACACCCTTTTAGAGACCTGAAAACGGCTACCATGTCCCCCCCTCGGTCTTCTCTTTTCTAAACTAAACAAACCCAATTCTTTCAGCCTTCCTTCATAGGTCATGTTCTCTAGACCTTTAATCATTCTTGTTGCTCTTCTCTGGACCCTCTCCAATTTCTCCACATCTTTCTTGAAATGCAGTGCCCAGAACTGGACACAATACTCCAACTGAGGCCTACCCAGTGCAGAGTAGAGCGGAAGAATGACTTCTCGTGTCTTGCTCACAACACACACGCCTGTTAATGCATCCCAGAATCATGTTTGCTTTTTTTGCAACAGCATCACACTGCTGAATCATATTCAGCTTGTGGTCCACTATAACCCCTAGATCCCTTTCTGCCATACTCCTTCCTAGACAGTCGCTTCCCATTCTGTATGTGTGAAACTGATTGTTCCTTCCTAAGTGGAGCACTTTGCATTTGTCTTTATTAAACTTCATCCTGTTTACCTCAGACCATTTCTCCAATTTGTCCAGATCATTTTGAATTATAACCCTGTCCTCCAGAGCAGTTGCAATCCATCCCAGCTTGGTATCATCTGCAAACTTAATAAGCGTACTTTCTATGCCAATATCTAAATCGCTGATGAAGATATTGAAGAGAGCCGGTCCGAGAACAGACCCCTGCAGAACTGCACTTGTTATACCTTTCCAGCAGGATTGTGAACCATTAATAACTACTCTCTGAATAACAGAGCAAGACAAACTATATATAAAGAGCGGGGTCTTTAATACAAAAGGGCAACAGATGCTGCAAAACTATCCCCCCTAATACTGGCTTTCAATTCAGGTGCACTTTTGATTGAAAGAGAATAAACACAAGCACAATTACAAACTGCCGACACTTTGCCCTCGCCTCCTGTAATCGTAGCTAGAGTGGGGCCATAAATGGCTACTGGAATGGCCCTCCGGACTAGTGGAGGGCAGGACTTTTCCCTGCAGTCCTGTCACCTGTCTGAAATGAGGACACGACCAGTCTTGGCCTGATCGGGCAGCAGCTGAGACGTCGATTTCACCGTAATGAGAGTGGAATCACATTAAGCTTCCCAGGAGAAACGAATCCACGCAAACAGAAGCATCGGTTCAGAGCAATCATGGCCAGGTGCAGAATCTCTGCAGGCTTCTTGGTGACTCTCTGGGTGTAGGCAGAGACCTCCCAGCCACAACTTCATTCGGTCATGAAGAAGAATTGTTTACGGAGGAAGTTAAAGCAGCCCGGCATCTGCTTGTACCGTCCTTTAGCAGACACATTACGAGCCACCTGGGAAAGAGAAAAGCCAAGGAGCGGGCTGGTTGCTGGCTGAGTGTGGGGAAACAGCTTTTCCCAGCACAGTTAACAATCCATGTAGTCAGGAGAGCTGTCTATGTTAGGGAAGGGGGAGGAGAGGCAGTGGATAGGTTTAACATTTGTACGGTGACGGTGTTTTTTTGCTGGCAGAATTAAGACAACTCTGGAGAAGTGCAGGGCAGCATCCCAGAGCAGGTCTTGTGTGATATCTTCGCACTGGCTTCATAAAGACCCTGGCTACGTCTAGACTGGCATGATTTTCCGGAAATGCTTTTAACGGAAAAATTTTCTGTTAAAAGCATTTTTGGAAAAGAGCGTCTAGATTGGCATGGATGCTTTTCCGCAAAAGCACTTTTTGTGGAAAAGCGTCTGTGGCCAATCTAGACGCACTTTTGTGCAAAAAAGCCCCGATCGCCATTTTCGCGATCGGGGCTTTTTTGCGCAAAACAAATCTCAGCTGTCTACACTGGCCCTTTTGCGCAAAAGTTTTGCGCACAAGGGACTTTTGCCCAAACGGGAGCAGCATAATATTTCCGCAAAAAGCACTGATTTCTTACAGTAGGAAGTCAGTGCTTTTGCGGAAATTCAAGCAGCCAGTGTAGACAGCTGGCAAGTTTTTCCGGAAAAGCGGCTGATTTTCCAGAAAAACTGGCCAGTCTAGACACAGCCCCTGTGAATAGGTTTTTGCCTCTAAAATGCTTCAGAGCCCATTCTCATCAGATGCTAACATCCGAGGGCTTCCTGTGAGCAATCATGCCTGTATCACCAACACCTGCCCACACAGGCAGGTCTTGGTATGAATCAGAAACAACCTTTCCTTTGCTCAGAAGAAATTAATCATTTCTTGTGTGTCAACACTTTCCGGGAGTTTTTTTCAAAACAGAAAGATCTGTTATGCTGAGGGTAGTGCCCTAGTTCAGGCAGAAACCGATGAGTCTGTTATGCTGAGGGTAGGGAGAGAGTGCCCTAGTTCAGGCAGAAACCGATGGTATAATCTCTCTTCCCTCTTGCATTTGCTAAGAGTCCCCATCGCCTCCCCAAGAATTCTGCACTGGGACTGAATGATTTCTAAGCATCCACGTGCCAGACTGAAAGCAGTTTGACCAACTTGGAAGTAGAGGGCCTGATCCTGAGTTCATTGCAATCAATGGGAGTTGTGCCACTGACTTCAATTGGAGCAGAATTAGGTCCAGGAGACTGAGAGAACAATTTTTCTTTCCTGCTTTGAAGACAGTTTAGGATGCTTCTTTACATATGGGTTACTCAAAAGACAGACAAAATTCGGAAATCTGGAAGTTCATTTGCCTAGTCCTGGACTGACAAAATAACAACTTCCCATCCAGCTATCTGGGTTGTTGGTAGATGCACAATTCACAATTTCTGGTAAGTGAAGGATGATGGTTATTGTTGGGCACTGCAGAGTAAACACAGTGTTGTTTTTGCTAGAGAGCAAAATGGACCTTTTGGGGCTATTTCACAGCAGTGTGATGGCTGTAGTAGCAGAACAAGTGCCCTTAAACATTCGTTTGGGAGGTAAGGATTTTCAGTGAATTATTTCTAAAACACCAGACCCATCCTTTGCAATATGGGAGAGTTATTTCTGAGAACCTCTGCCTTCCCTTCATTAGTATATACTCAAACTTACTGGTTCATATACACACACATTTACATTCCATGCACATAATTAAGATGCAGTGACATCGCTCACACACCAAGATAACAAGTAACATTAAGACAAGCATCTGGTGGGGTTATCCATATAAATAGTAGGATGATCCAGGAGACAAATCAAAAACTCATCACGGCAGCAGAGAGTGTAAAAGCAACAAGCTAAGCCAAATATGGAGAACGTACAAACACAGCCCTGTCTTGTTTGCTATTATATGTCCAAGTAGGAAATTATTTCGATTATATTGTGCTGCTGCTGGTTGCTCTGTTGTGTTGTTTTGTGACAGGACAGACAGATGGTTCTTGGCTCTGAGGCCAAGCTAGGGCAGGCCACTAGGCAAAGGTTAAGGCCAAGATTTTCAAGAGTGACTTGTGATTTTGGGTGTGAGACCTGAAATGGAGCTGATCTTCAGACTTTTTTGAGGCATTTCTTGTTGGGTCCCACAAAAGTGAAGCACTCAAAAAAATCACTTGCCACTGCTGAAAATGTAAGAGGCTAACGCAGGGGTGGGCAGGATCCGTGGGCTGGATCTGGCCTGCCAAGTGGGTTGATCTGGCCCGTGGAGGCCCTGCAGCTCCCCCGCCCCTTGGACAATTAGGGCCTGGGATTGGGGGAAGCACACGAAGCTTCTTCCACTCTGCAAGGAGCACGCGGTACTTAGACGCGCCATGTGCTCTTGGCAGGGTGGGAGGAGAGTTTGCGCGCTCCCCTGCCCCCAAGCCCTGATTACGCACTCCCTCTTCTGCCCCCAGGCCAATCAGGGTTTGGGGGCGGGGGAGTGTGCAAAGTCTCCTCCCACCGCCAGGGGCATGGGCGCCTAGGGGGAACCGCTGGCGGGGGGCAAAGACTCCACACACTCTCCCACCCCAAAACCAATCATGGTCTGTGGGTAGGGAATCAAGGAAGTATCCTGACCCCGCCCTGCCCGCTTGAGGCCCCACCCCTTCCAGTGTGGCCCGGGGGCACTTCAAAAATATCTGAAGTGGCCCCTGGTAAAAAATGATTGCCCATCCTTGGTCTAACGCCTAACTGCAAGCACACATGCCTACATCCCACAACAGTCATAAAGAGGAACCTTTACCCTGAGTAGCATGTTTAGCAGGTCTTCACTATGGGCATATTGCTCAAGGACGCTGTCCAGTGTTTCGATGTACCACGAGCCGCTGTGCGTATCCCGCCAGGAGACAAAACCTTAGGAGAACACGGAGAAAGTAAGGAACTCACTGTCGACAACAGGCCTTTGGGGTTTCTTCCTAACTCCATAAGGAGAGGTGAGGATCCTACGGCCCACAGGCCTGATCCAGCTCCCGGCTTACTTTGATCCGGCCCAGAGCAAATCTCCATGCTGTGGGGCTGGAGCCCCAAGCTTCGGTGTCCCCTTGGGGGCCTGGAGCATGAGTGGAGCCCTGGCTCCCCAAGTGGAGTGTGAGTGAGGTGAGTGAGTTGGGATGCTTTGTTTGTTTTTGGCTTCTCGCTGGGGGCCAGGTGAGTGAGGTGTGGTGGTTTCGGTTTTTATTTTTACTGGTGTGTCACCCCCAAGGCTATGTCTAGACTGCAAGCCTCTTTCGAAAAAGAGCGTCTAGACTGCAAGCGGAACTTTCGAAAAAGCAAGCCGCTTTTTCGAAAGAGAGCACCCAGGCAGTCTGGATGCTCTCTTTCGAAAAACCCCTGTTTGCATTCAAGAACGCCTTTTTTCGAAAGAGCACTTTCGAAAAAAGGCGTTCTTCCTTGTGAAATTAGGTTTACCGCCGTCGAAAGAAAAGCCGCGTTCTTTCGATTTAATTTCTAAAGAACGCGGCTGCAGTCTAGACGCAGGTGAAGTTTTTTCGAAAAAACCCCTGAGTCTGGACACAGCCCAACTGATTTTTCTGCTGCTACTCACCAAAAGGTCCCCTCCCCTGCCTTTGGGGATAGAATTTCCACCCTATAGATAACTTCTTCTAAATCCATCACTAGAACACCTATAGCCTCCGTGAAGCAGAGACTCATCCAGTGGCTACAGACTCACTGGATGAGCTGGGGCATGTAAAAAAAAACCCTTTCTGTGCCTGTTTCCTTCATCTAAAATGGGGGTAATAATTGCTTGCTTTGTGCAGGTGAGGGGCTCATGTAATGCTTGCAAAGGACTGAGATCCTCAGATGGCAAATGCAGAGTGTTATTATTCACCAAAGAAGAGGTCCTTTAAGGGTGTCGAAGAGAGAAAATAAGAAGCCCACCCTCTCTCTTACATTGTACTTTCCATCCATAGATCTGAACGTGTTTTAAAAAGGTGATGAGGATCATTCTCCTCATTTTACAGCTGGTGAAACTGAGGCAGAAGGTGGGGAAGTGTCAGCCGGCAGGTCAGAGTCAGGAATAGAACTCAAACCTGCTGAATCCTCGGACAATGCTCTATCTGCTGCCTTCTTGCTAGGCCAGTGCTTTCCTCACCCCATCTCACCTGGAAAAGTTGAGTAGGATACCAAGATGTCACTGGGAGTGGGTAAGCTGGCTACTGCATCCGGCTCATCCAAGTTACTGGGCTGCATCTGAAAGGGACGTGCATCCGACGCTAAAGAATCTCCATGAAGTTGGTTTACGGGTGAATCAGAATCCACCTCAAATCCTCGGTCTTTTTGCTCTGCGAGAAGCAAACAAAAAACCCTTCTCTGCTACTTACGTAAGCAATAAGCCGTGAGCCCTGTCATGATTATGAGGGTTAGCCAGCAGCCTGGGGATTAAGGAGTTAACTATACCGAGCCAGGTGGAGTGACCAGTAGGAATGTAGGTGGGACTTTCAAACTGGGACAAAGGAATTTGGGTTTTTTCCTTTCTCCTTTTGTCCCTCTGAGAGAGTTCTCTGCAGCTACAGAGAGGGACAAGCATGTCTCTCTCTCTCCAAGACACCATTCTTCATTTTCTGTAAGTAGGGTAAAGTTTAGGTAGTTTCGTTAGGCTTTATTGTTTTAAGGGTTGGGTATGGGATCTGAGATCTGGCACTGCTTAAAAGATGTTTTGGCTTTTCTTTGTAACTAAGTTCTAGGCCCATGGAGTTTCTCCATAAGTATATTTTGTTACCTTCCCATCTAGTCATTATGCTTGCAACAAGAATATTGTTGTAATAATAAAAGTTCTTTCTTTTCTTTTTATTAACCTGGCATTGGTTACTTGTGTGCGCTGATTTTTATTTTAGGGATGAGATTTCCCAAATGATCTTTCCCCTGATTTCTTTATCAACATTTGGGAGGTGGCAGCGGAAGTTTTATTCCCAAGATCTAGGTTTTTTAAGATTTTGGGGGAAGTTTTATACCAAAGCCTGGTAGATCAGGCTTTGGGGTACACTTGCTGGCCCCCACTTCTGCATTTATCATGCCAGAGTGGAGAAGGAGACATGACAAGCCCCCCACTCATTAGCAAGTCTGGTCTTCCAATGAAAGGAGCCTTTTGTTTCAGCCTCTGCTACAGTGGCAGACTCAGAGCCACTGCAATTCACCCCAGTGCAGAGTCCATTCCTGCCAGCCAGATGCTCTGAGCCAAATGCAGAGAACTGAACCAATCAGCTGTGCCAGAGAACATGCAGGAGTGGCACCAGGTTGCTTCCCTCTCCCCAAAGCTCCTTACAATCAGTTCTACTGCGGTGGAATGCACCTTCTGCTCTGAAGCGCTTCTAGCGGCTCAGTCGTTAGAAACCTCGCTCTCTAGGCCAATCAGCACGATGCCTAAGTCAGGGCTGGACAAGACGAGGCTCAGGGGGCTGGGTCCGGCCCACTGAACACTTTGAGCTGGCCTGCAGACTGCCTCCGGCCACTTTCTATTTATATCCTGCTGCCCACGCCACCGAATTTCCAGGTGGTGGCTCACGCAGCAGGATCCTATTTAAATGGCTCACATTGCACTTCATGGCGCAACCCTGGCAGTGGCTGGAGCTGCAAGCTCTTTAAATAGTCACAGCAACTCTGGGAGGCTGCCAGGCAATGTGGGAGTGACAGGGCCGTGAGCCGTGAGCCCTTTGTTGTGTTTTTAATTCAAAGCCTCCAGCCCCAGACAACTCTGGGGGAGGCTAATCCCCAGCCCGGCCCCTTTGTTTCCAGGCCACGCCCCTTCTGGGGGGGAGGCAAATCCCCATCCCGGCCCCTTTGTTTCCAGGCCACGCCCCTTCTGGGGGTGGAAACAGTCTGTAACCACATAGAAAAATTCATTATGTCCTTCCACCCCCGCGAAAATGATTGCCCACCTCTGGCCCAAGCAATATAAATACAAGGCAGAGAACAAGAGAATCAGGCTGAGCAAAGGGAAGAAGAACAGCAAAGGAAAGAGATGATGTAGAATTATTATACTTCAAGTGCCACTGCACACGCAAGCAGACACACAGCTGCTTCTTCTCCTGAAGGAGCCCCTAAGGCAGTGGGGGGCAAACGGCAGCCTGTGGACCACACACTGCCCATTGCAGTTCTATGTGTGACCCATGAGATATCTGGTTTACTGTTGCCCATGCACACAGTTGCCAGATTTCACTGGTTTTCAATCACATTGGGTTTTGGGGTTTTTTTGCTACTGATATTACTAAAGTGACACTCATGTGAAGTGAGAAGAGTGCTGATTGCACACTACACTGAGTGACAGAGACCTGCGCCCCCTCTGCATCCAATCAAGCGCTGCTACGGCTCAATCGGCACAACTCCCAAATTCTCGGTAGACAAGTTCAGTGAGCAAAACTAGCCCAACTTGGGAGTCCGTGTTGGGTACAATAATTTTGCAGCTGAGCTGGAGGAGGGCCACTTCTGCAGCCCCACTCACCAGCGTAGGCTGCCCCTCACTGACCTAAGGCAAAACACTAGTGGAGCTAAAGCCAATATTCACCTCCGCCACAGGCTTGAATAAAGAAGAGTTTGGGTTTTCCTCTCAAGCTTGGGCAGTGGGACCCATCGAAGTAGTTCACAATCTTTTCAACTGGAATGCGCTTTCCGTCTGTGCCGTAAATGCCGCCAGGAAACTGAATGTGGCTGGTCTGAAAAAGCAAAATCCACAGGCTGTTCACACACAGGCAATTGGTCACCCTTTTCTCTGGTATAAACAACTTCCACTTTAGAAGCCTTTCCTTGTATGCCAGGAGGGTCTGATGCTCTAGTATTTGGGATGTGAGTTACGGAGAGAGAAAATCCAGGTGTTATTTTAAACCCTCCAAACTCTAGAAACCCAGGCTCCTGATCTTCCAATAGCTCTTTTCCCCCACAAAGTGGGATTTCTCACTTCTAATTTACCCTCTGTCCCATAGCTTCCTAACAGCCATTTCTGTAATTTCACCTCATTTCCTCTAGCTATGCACTAATACCGACCGGTATTTATTACTGCTACAGGTTGATTCTCTCTAGTCTGGCACCCTTGGGACCTGACCGGTGCCGAACCAGAGAATTTTCTAAGCCACAGGAGGTTAATCTTGTCTAGCAGCATTGCCAACCCTTCCACTGCTTAGTGGGGGGTCTTAAAAGGCAGTTCCGGGTAAATTATAGCTAAAGAACAGCACAGAACACCGAGAGCCAGGACGGGTGGCTGTAAACAAACTTTATGGGATGTCAGGAAATTTGGCTACACCTGGGACAAGTGGACATCTGGCTAACTCAAATCATGCCAGACCATGGATGTTGCCGCACCAGAGAGTGCTGGATTAGTGTGGTTCAGCCTGCAATTGGACACACATACTCAGTGACCCCTGGAAGTTCCCCTGGCTGATGTCAAATTACCCCATATAAAACATTGTTGAGCAGTGGGCTACCCACATCAACAATAAACTCTGAACACACCCCAGCTGTGTCTAGACTGGCCAGTTTTTCCAGAAAAATCAGTCACTTTTCCGGAAAAACTTGCCAGCTGTCTACACTGGCCGCTTGAATTTCCGCAAAAGCACTGACGATCTTATGTAAGATTGTCAGTATTCTTGCGGAAATACTATGCTGCTCCCGTTCGAGCAAAAGTCCTTTTGTGCAAAACTTTTGCGCAAAAGGGCCAGTGTAGACAGCCCAGATTTGTTTTCCGCAAAAAAGCCCCGATCGCGAAAATGGAGATCAGGGCTTTTTTGCGGAAAAGCGTGTCTAGATTGGCACGGATGCTTTTCCGCAAAAAGTGCTTTTGCAGAAAAGCGTCCTGCCAGTCTAGACGCTCTGTTCCGAAAATGCTTTTAACTGAAAACTTTTACGTTAAAAGCATTTCCGGAAAATCATGCCAGTCTAGACGTAGTCCCCATGTCCCAGAAAGTTGCCCCTCATCGAAACATTTCACAGTTATAAAGCAACCTCCATGCCTGCCATCAAGTGAGGCCTCCATCATACATGGTGATCAGGCAATCGCCACCATGCTGAACACTTGGCTCAGGACGCAGTTAGAGCTTGGCAATACACAGCAGGGAAGGAAGAGGTCCCACTGGTTTACGCCCATGGGATGAGATCAGGACAGGAGGGAGAAGAAACCAGTCCCCTCTCTGATACCCAGGGAATGTTGGCAACCAACACAACAGGCTTTTCAGGAGCAGGCTTCTCCCCCAAGCACGGAGAGATGTGAACGAGAATGCCGATCCTCCTACCTGGCACCCATGGGAAAGGATCACCACCAGGCAGCAGTCCAGAGCGCTGTGGTCCTGCCTAGCCAGGCGCTGCAACTCCGAGGCAATTTCCTACACACATTTGCAATGGTTAGACTTCAAAACTGCCATTCTGAGTCGCCAATTTAGCAAGGGTTATCACCAGTTCTACCCCTTGTCAATCTCACGTCAATGTCACACTGCTGAAAGGTTGGACTGATTCCCCCAAAGTCTGACCCACACAAGAGCACACACAAGCACACACTGCTCCATGCTGATTTGGAGATTCGGCTTGGTGGAGGAGAGCAGACCCATGCCTCACTCCAGAGCCCACTCCTTCCCCTCCCTTTTGCCAAGAAGGCTGCTAAAATCAGTGCCAAGCAAGATGACGGTTCTGTAACGCTGACACAGAGTCCCACCCTCTTTTCTGCACATGGGACAATGAGCCACTGTTAGATGGAACACGTTCAGAGAGTCACTGCAACCTCCTGCTACTTCACATTTGCTGTTGAACCAAAGAGATTTCTTCTGCATGTTGCTGTTGTAAAGGACACGCTCACTTCTGTGTTTGGTCCGAATGCATCACAACTGGAAGGCAGTGCATCCAGGCCAACCAATGCACTGCCTCAGATTGATAAATAATCCAACACATTTGTTTGGGTAGAAATGGGCGCTCCAAGAGATTGAATGTCCTACTTAAGATCAACCATTCTATAAGACAAGACAAACAGAAAATTGAGCTCCTGGGTACCCCAATATGAGAGAAGCTAAGTCAGAGGTATCAAAGAGATACATCCTTAGACAATTAGTTATAAATCATCTTCAGGAATAAAAACTCTGCCCCGAGAGACCAAATCATGAGGGTTCTTGTTTGTTCTGTTCCTATAGCAGTAAAAGACAAGATGATTGTTTCTTCGAACACTGAAGTTTGGGGTGGGGGGGGAAATGTGGCTTTAACATCAGAGCATACATTGTCACCCTATAGCAACACCGTTAGGGTATGTCTACACTGCAAATGAACATGGGATTGTACCAGAGGTAGGTACAACAATGTCAGCTTTGATCTAGCTAGCATGGATAATGGGAGCAGTGTCAATGTGGTGTTATGGATTTGAAGCCACCCAAGAATGTCCCAGACTTGCTGGAGGACATGTACACAGGCAGTCAGCCTATGCTGCCATGTCCGTATGACTGTTATCTGAACTAGTGAGATTACAGCTAGCATGGGTATGCTCTGTCTGTGCTACAGCCACACCTCCGCTTGCAGCAAAAGCTCTTAGGCCATCGCCTCTCGGCAGATGCTTCCACCCTTACCTGAGCTTTGAGATCTTGTCGGATGAGGACATCAAAGTGCAGTGACTTGAAGCGCTTCTCCAGTTTCTCACAGTCTACGTTGGAGCCCTCTCGAGAAGACAGGTCAGACGTTTCAATGAAATTGACGTTGTTGATGATGAGGCAGTAGCCACACGGGTCAGCTTTCAGAACATAAACCTGGCACATGTCGCCACAGGGGAGCAGTCAGCAGACAGACTGAACTAAACCTACGTTTATTCAGTGCCCACTGGCTAATCCAGCAGGATGCAACTCTGAACCAAAAATGCGACTTTTCATGAAGCTCATTGGATTGCTTCGGTGAATTCAATGTATTATTTGCCCAGGATGAGGGGTGGAGAATGGGATCCACACACCACTAAGGAGTGAATACAAACTACTGGGATAATGTAGCACATCTAGCTTTACTTTATTCATGCAGTCCAATTGAAATCAATGGGATCAGAAAAATCAGGGCTTGATTGAAATGGATACAGGGCCAAATTAACTTCCATTGACTTACAACAAGGATGAACTTGGCCTCCACTTTACTAAACATATAGGTCTGCATTCATGGTACTATATTCAGTTGTAACAATCATGCTGCATTCGTGTGCGCAGTACATTTCCATTAGTGAGGGGTTTATCTTAGTATATTTCACACTATAATTACAAACCTAAAATACCCACTCTACAAATACAGCACACTCTAAGTGTTGCACGAGTTAATTATTAGTTGTCTTGATAGTAATTGCTAAGGGAAAAATATTTGGCTATGTGGCTGGTCATATTTATGTTGCCATTAGAGGAGTAAGGGTGGTGTGACAATTGATCTAATCTGAACTGAGCTAGCCCCGTCAAAGCAGCAGGACTCATTCAGATGCTAGATCTGACACCTGGACATCAAAGTCACATTTGCTAGTAATTATTTATCTTTTAAACAACACAATACTGTTTGAGTCAAATAAACTGTAAATACGCACAATATAAGTTACCAGACCGCAGACAAAAAATTTCAAAAGCACCTAAATCCCTTTAACTTTGGCACTGAGGAACAGATTTAGGCCTACTTGACACTCAAAAGTTGTGTCAGCATAGCACTGTTGGTTAGGGCAGAGGCGAGCAAAATACAGCCTGCAGACTGGATCCGGCCCACCAATCCTTTGGCTCCCATGGGACCCATTGGAATCCTCAGGTGTGGTCCCTGCAGGTCCCGCTGGGCTGCTGGAAGGGAGCCACCTAGGTAAGCGCCTCCTGGCCAGAACCAGCATCTGGCACCTCACTCCCTCCCACAGCCCAACTCCCTGCCTCAGGTTGCCACCCAAACCCTCTGCATTCTGCTCCCCCCTGTTCCAGGTCACAACTCCCTCCCAGACCCTGCACCCCCTCCAATATCCCACCCTAGGACCAGAGTCCTCACTTGCATCCATACCCCCTCTCCAACATTGTACCCCCTGCTGCACCCCAATGCCCTGGCCATAACCTAAACCCTCTGAATTCCTCCCCCAGGTCAGAATCTTCTCCTGCACCCTAATCCCTTGCCCCAGGTCACAACCCCCTCCTTCACCCAAACTCCCTCTCAGACCCTACACTCTCTCCTTCACCCCAATAGCTCCCTTCTGCACCCTGCCTCCGTCCCAGACCCTGCACCTCCTCCACAGAAAAGTGTGGCCCCTGACCACTTACCAACATTTTGGTGTGGTCACCCCAGTAAAAATGATTGTCCATCCCTGGGTTAGGGAGAGGAAGGACAATCACACCCATAATTGAATGTTCTAGGGCTAGCAAAGTCCCTAGAGCAGATGCAGTTATACCCATGAAAAAGGCCTTTTGCTGTTATAGCTTATTTAATTGGGGAAACAGATATAAGCTGTACCAGATGAAAAGTCTTTTAGCCCATTACACTGACATATCCTTTTTAGTATAGACAGAATCTTACAAAGGTATTTAGGCACCTGAAATGATGTCAAGTGCCTAGCAAGATTTATAACAGTACCTTAGTGAGAAAGGTATCTAACGCCCATAGACTTTCAATGGAACGTAGGCAACTCATCTGCATAGATACTTTTGAAAATTACACTAGGCACCTGTCTTCCCTTTAGACTCCTAAATACCTTTGTAGATCAGAGTCTTAAGAGCCTAAGTCCTTTTAAAAATGGGATTCAAAGTGGGTGATGGTGGGGGAGAAAAAGGAGGTGGTTCAGGTAAGAAATAAGTAAAAATACTGTATAGAAAAACAAGATACTAACCATATCTGAGTTCTTCCTGGATCTGTCTTCAGCACAACCTATAACATGATAAGAGAGAAACGACATACAGCTCCACTATCTACCGCACATTCATTAGAGGGTTAGGTCCCTGCTTAAAAGGATTAATATTAATGCACTTTATTTCTGGATACATTCAGTCACACCTGAATGCCTCCTTATTCCTAGCCACACACAGGAAAGTAATATTTCATTATCTGATTGTTCATTTACTGGAGACATTGAGAGAGACGTTCTGGAGGTTCATTTATCATGGCTTTGGATACTGCCAGTCAAAGAGTATGTCTATGCAGCAAAGTTATTTCGAAATAACAATCCTTATTTCAAAATCACTTTCCTAGCGCCTACACAAGCCAACTGCTATTTTGAAATTAATTCGAAATAGAGGAGGGCTTATTTCAAAATTAGTAATCCTCATTCCACGAGGAATTGCACCAATTTCGAAATTGCTATTTCAAAACAAGCGCCGTGTAGACACTTATTTCGAAATAGGGGGCCTCCAGCCCTTCCCAGGGTGCCCTGCTGACTGTCCTGGCCACAAGGTAACTTCTGACCTGATGCCCCACTGGAACCAATTCCGGCTGGCCTTAAATGCGATTCAGCGTCCAATCAGTGTGGATGCGCTATTTCGAAATACCAAAAAGGTATTTCGAAATGCATTTTGTGTGTAGACGCGTTATTTCGAAATAAGATATTTCAAAATAACTATTTTGAAATTAGATATTTCGAAATAACACTGTAGTGTAGACATACTCAAAGAGTATTGCCCACAGAGTCATAAATTTGAGCTCTGCTTGTCAGAAGAGAATTGGATGGGAAATCATCAAGAGCCTTACCACCTCACACACAGGCAAACTAGCCTGGCCTAGAAAAGTCTCTGTAACAATCCATGGTACAACTCCAACTTGTTCTGGTGGCATCTGGTTGTTCAGATTGATTAAATTAGATCTCAAATTAACAAATACTGTACATCGTACTATATCCCTTATGGCTGCACCTCTCCCATTATTCAGAACTTTGGTGGATGGATCAGTCACGACAGAGTCTTGTTTTTAATCTGGTTTTAATCTTGGTATTTTCTGAGTTCAGTTAATGGCTCAGAGGCTCCTAGCCACTAGCCAGAAACATGGACCAACACTATGGCTGTGATTGAAGTAATAATACATGGAGATACCCGTTCAACAGAAGGAAACAGCTGCAGGTGGCTGCTAGTCCCTGCACACAAGGAGAAAATCAGAATGGCTTAGAAGCGACACCTAGATGGGCAGGGAATGGGAACAATGTGTAGGCAGTGAGATCAGCCCAGCCTCTGGCAAAAGGCTGCAGACAGAGGAAGGTGCAGGGCAGAGGAAGGTGCAGGGCAGAGAAAGTGCCTCCAGAGGAATTATGGAGCAGCACAGATACACTCCAGAGCAGCGACTGACAACCAAGGCAGTTAGTGGGTCGCATGAGTGGCTCTCCTTCGACTCAGTGGATCGCAAGATTGAAATCCAGTGATGGGCAGCCTGTAGCCCATTGGGGTTCACCTGCAGCATCTGCTCTCTGACCCTTCCCCCATGCCTCTCACGCATGGAGCTCTTCACTTCCTACTCCTTCCTCTCCCTCCCAGCACTTCTGGGGCATCATGAATCTGCTGAGTTGTGCTCCGTCCCTGCTCCTGCCCTTCCCTCCCAGAGCTTGAACCCCCATGAATCAGCTGATTCACAGCACTGCAAAAGTGTTGGGAGGGAGGGGGAGCAGTAGGTAAGTGCAGGGCTCCACTGCCCCAGTGCACAAGAGGCACATGGGGGAAGGGGACAGAGAGGGGGTGCACAGGCCACAGGTGGAACCCCAATAGGCTACAGGTGGCACTCCAACCCACCACTGCTCCGGAGGGTACTACAACCAGGAGGAGGATTGGCACAGTATGCTGGCCACCCTGAGCATCCCTGAAGAAGATGGGCTGAAGGGACCTTCATGAAGTCTGGGGAGAGAGGAGAAGGAATGAAGGACAGACAGGGTGTAAGTCAATAACTGTCTAGCAGAGACAGCTTACCTTGAGACGCTACACTGGGACGCCCCGGCTCTTGGCATCTTTCAGTCACAGTTCGGACTGGGGCAGGCAAATATTCAGGATCCTTCACATCTGTAAAGGTAGAAGGCATCTGGGCCTTGAGTGACCATTCTTCCTATAGACTTGAAATAATAACTCCCAAAATAACTATTTCAAAATAAGTTATTTTGAAATAATTTCCCAGTGTAGACATAGCCTTAGCTTCATTATCACAAGTCCTACAATTGACTGGAAACTGCTTTTGTTGTTATACATACCTTGGATTCTGTATTTTCCACTTCAACTTATCTGATTAAGTGGGTTTTACCCAGGAAAGCTCATGAACTAATATATGATGTGTTAGTCTCTAAGGTGTGCCAGGACTACAGGCAGTCCCCGGGTTACATGGATCCGACTTACATCGGATCCCTACTTACAAACGGGGTGAGGCAACCCCGCACTAGCTGCTTCCCCCCAGCAGACCAGGGAGATGCGAAGCTAGCGCCCCCTCCCCAGCAGACCAGGGAGACGCGGAGCGGCTTTTCTCAGCAGACACCTCAGCTTGAGAATAAAGGACTGAGGGAAGTGAGGTGTGGGAGAATAAAACTGAGCTCTGGAGAAATGTTTGGCTAGAGTTTCTCCTACAATATGTACCAGTTCCGACTTACATAGAAATTCAACTTAAGAACAAACCTACAGTCCCTATCTTGTATGTAACCCGGGGACTGTCTGTACTCATTATCTTTAAAGATACAGACTAACACAGCTACCCCTCTGAGATTATACAATCAGTGATTCTGGAAGACATGTGGACGATCAGATTTTACAAGCTGTTAGGCAGCCTCCTGTCTGTACCTGCCTGGCAACAGAGCTTACAACTGCAGAATCCAATTTTGCTTGTTTATTCTGAAAATAACACCACTACTCACATGTATCACCCTTTCCACCACGTAAGCCCATTTTAATTGGTTTTATATCAACTGGACACAACTGTGGGAATTTGTATCCTTCACTCAGCAAAGCAGCAAGGTCATCCTGTCCAGTTTCTTGCAGGCTTGAGACAAATGCAGGAAAAGCTTGTCTCCCTCGCGTCTGAAGGTCTGTAACCAACTGCCTCGCTTGGTCTCTTCGAGTGCCTGCTCTCTATAAGGGAGCAAAACCAAGACAGAAAGCATTAGCATCCAGTGCACAAGTCATGCCAATGGTCCAGCATTTCTAAATAGCACAGTGATGAATATGAGAGAGCAAGGAAAAGAACAGAACATAAACTAATCAAGTATAGCTTTTTTAGTCTGTACCCAGGCAACTCCAGGGCCTACTGATGTCCAAATGTCAGCAGAGTGAAGAAGATTCTGCCATTTCACTGCTGTTTTTCAGAAACTCTAGGTGGCAGTGACAGTATTAAAAATTATATCACTTCTATTCAACTGCTGTTGGAAAAACCTATACACAGATGTGGTTGAAACTCTTGTGCCCCATCAAGCCCCATAACTCATTGATGGCCCTTCCATCTTCCACATCAGCCTCTGGTGAGAAACTCAAGACTCTGCCTATTAGACACCCACGTACTATCATCTGAGATAGGTGGGGAAACTGAGGCACAGAGACATTTCCCTATGTCAGACAGAAAGTTAGTGGTAGAGTGAGGGTATAAAACCCAGGGCATCTGATCCATTCTCCACTCCAACCACTAGACATCACTGGCTCCCACAAGATGGGACAAGTTCTACTGTATCATACATAACTTTTTAGTTGCTTGGTTTTGTATCATACAAACTAACCCCAGCCTTAAAGAGCTTCTCTTGGCTTGTTTTCATCCATGATTGGGGTGGGGAGGAGGGAATTATGCCACTTTCATTCCAACAGTTGCTCTTCCAGCAAAAGTCATAAAGCTCAAATTCACAGCAGCTCTGCAACTTGGCTCCAGCAATAACCCAGAGCAGAGATATTAGAAATCCAGGGAGCTACCCAGAAATTTTGATTTTCCAGTGGCTGTGAAAGTTCAGATGTTTACAGGCCCAGCAGCTCGCAGCCCGACAATGGCATCTAGTGGCTGCTTGGTTAATTTCAGGAGAGTTCACCAGGAAGCCGAAGGGGGTAGTGCCAACCCCACCAGCGATAGTGGGGGCTGGATGGGTGTTGATGTGAAGGGAGGGAGAAGAGACACCGCCCCCTTTTCTACACTGCAGTCTCTAGTTATTGGGGGGGGGGTAAATATGAATTACCCTAGAGCAGAGCAAGGGGGAGGGGGCTGAGCAGGGATAGGAGGAAGTCAGGAGCAGGGTGGGGGTGGCGACAGCCAGGGCAGAACGGTGGGGGTGGGAGGATGGAGCGGGGCAGGACAGAAGCTCCCCAGATGCAGCCCCGGGTGCGGAGGAAGCAGCGGACCCAGGGTAGGGGAGGCCACCTGGATCTCCTCGATCATGTCCTGGGTGAAGACTCCTTTGTGCAGCAGCAGGTCCCAGAGCGGAGCCACCTGCAGCTCTTGCACCAGGCGCAGGCGGCTCCTCTGCAGCAGCAGCCGCTGAGCCTCCTCCATCCCCGCCACCCCGGGGACCCCCTCCGGTGGGTCCCGCGGGAGGGGAAACTGGAGACGGCCGAGATGCTCCGCCTGTTTCCGGGAACCGTCCTCAGCCCGGCCCCCTTCGGAGCGGTCTATAGGATCCGCCTTTCCCCTAGGCCTCTCCTCCTATAGGAGCCTCCCGTTTGGTTCCTTAGCCCATAGGGACCGCCCCTGAGCCCTACCGCGTGTAGGGGCTGTGCTACAGTCTGTGCCTGTCCTTCCCTTTGTACAGCAGCTCCCCTCACAACACCCTACTGTCCATAGGGGCCGAAAAGAATCTACCGGCTCTGTCGGGCTGTAGAGCCCCTATTGCCCTTCCGCTAGATGGATTTCAGTTTTATTTACCCCCCCCCCCTTTAATAGACAGTTCTTCCCCATGAGGGAGCATTGCACAGCTAACAGCAGTTCTGTGTGTCACTATCCTCTGTTTGACTAGCTGGCATGGATCCATACCGGCCTAGAGGGACCATTACTTTGTTCCCCTCCATGCACGGACTCTCGCATTGGTGTGGATTTTAAGTAACTGTGCTGAAGCCTGTTGGTTCTACTGGCTTTCCACTGGCACAGCGGGACCCTAGTGTGTGTTCTTTCTTGCCATTGCACTAATTGACCCATACATGTGTGTGTAAGCTAATATATTCAGGCTATTCAGAATAATTAATGAGGATAAGAGAGGACTGGCACCTACATCTAGCTGGTCAAGCCCTTTAATTCAGTTACCACTCCAAGAAAAAAGTGGGGGGAGAAAGTAGGGCTAGATAAGAAACAATATCGTGAGGTCAAGAAGCCACAGGGTGATACCACACCATGGAGATGCAGGCTGACACCATGATGACACAACATCACATTGTGATGCAGCACTACATTGACCTGAGCTAATACCAGGACACATCGCATTGTGACTATGGTGACATGGGTTGACACAACACGGTCACATGGTGATGTGGCATCATGGGGACATGGGCTGATACCATGAGGTGACATCCCATGGTGACCCAGCACCACTGACATGGGCTGACACCATGACACAAGTGCAGCAGGGAGGGGAGCTCC